GGAAAGCTATGACCTCTGCCCTATGCGCCATCTTTGGCACAAGAGGAATAACTAACTAACTAACAAGGGAGTCGAATGGTCTTAGACCATGAAGCAAACAAAGAAGCCTAGAGAGAGATTATGTCCAGAGAGACTTACAAACACTTGTGTCACCAACTGGAAAGAGAAGATATATTGACCATGTTGCTGTCTCGCACATGTCTGAGACATAATGACCTTGTTGATGTCTCTCACATGTCTGAGACATATTGGCCATGTTGCTGTCTCACATGTCTGAGACATATTGGCCATGTTGCTGTCTCTCACATGTCTGAGACATAATGACCTTGTTGATGTCTCTCACATGTCTGAGACATTTGACCATGTTGCTGTCTCTCACATGTCTGAGACAAATTGACCATGTTGCTGTCCCTTACATGTCTGAGACATATTGACCATGTTGCTGTCTCGCACATGTCTGAGACATATTGACCATGTTGCTGTCTCTCACATGTCTGAGACATATTGGCCATGTTGCTGTCTCTCACATGTCTGAGACATATTGACCATGTTGCTGTCCCTTACATGTCTGAGACATATTGACCATGTTGCTGTCTCTCACATGTCTGAGACATATTGACCATGCTGCTGTCCCTTACATGTCTGAGACATATTGACCATGTTGCTGTCTCTCACATGTCTGAGACATATTGGCCATGTTGCTGTCTCTCACATGTCTGAGACATATTGACCATGTTGCTGTCTCTCACATGTATGAGACATATTGACCATGTTGCTGTCTCTCACATGTCTGAGACATATTGACCATGTTGCTGTCCCTTACATGTCTGAGACATATTGACCATGTTGCTGTCTCTCACATATCGGAGACATATTGACCATGTTGCTGTCTCTCACATATCGGAGACATAATGACCATGTTGCTGTCTCTCACATATCGGAGACATATTGACCATGTTGCTGTCTCTCACATGTCTGAGACATATTGACCATGTTGCTGTCTCTCACATGTCTGAGACATATTGACCATGTTGCTGTCTCTCACATGTCTGAGACATATTGACCATGTTGCTGTCCCTTACATGTCTGAGACATATTGACCATGTTGCTGTCTCTCACATGTCTGAGACATATTGACCATGTTGCTGTCCCTTACATGTCTGAGACATACTGACCATGTTGCTGTCTCTCAAACTATCCGCCTGCTCATGCTTTAACACTCATAAATTGACCGGGCAAAATATCCTACGATACTACCTGCCGTACTATATGTAGAGAATATCATCATCATCATCATCATCATCATCAAGTGCCATACAGACTGGCGTGGGCGATCATGCCTCTCCACAATCTGTAATCTCCTGCAGCATGTATCAGTTCGTGTGCCGACACACCTCCATGCTATGCAACAAGACTGTTAAGAATCTTCTCTCGTTGTCTTCCTCTATCCCTTCTTCCACAGATCTTTCCAGTGGTCACAACATGTTCTATTTTCGCTCCTTTCATAACATGGCCGAAAAATGACGTCTGTGATAAGTTGTCTTCGGGCTCCCGTCTCTTTCATAACCTCTTGGTTGCTCTTTTTGTCTGTCCAGTGTATTCTAAGCATTCTGCTGTAAAACCACATCTGTGAGGCCTCACCAAGAATTCGTTTTCTTACTCTCAATTACAAGGATATATTGCACAAGATGTTCTTCATTTTATAAAATGCAGTTTTTGCGTGTCCTTTTCTGTTTCTTATCTCAGTTATTCATCTTCCCTCTGATGTTGTCCATGTACCCAGATACTTTAATTTCTGTACTTGTCCCAAAATAACACCATGGATTTTTATTACACATTTAGAAATAATTCGTTTCTTTGATACCACAATTTCTTCCCTTTTTCCATTATTCCAACTGAGGCCCATTATTCCACTTTCTAACACCACCATGTCTATCATTTCCTGTAGTTCTTTCTGACTTGTTGCTATCAAGACCGTTTCATCATCATGACGTTAATTGTTTATATTGTGCCCACAAACTACAATTCCGGGCATATCAATTTAAGCTCTCATTATATATTCACTGTATATATTGAAAACAAATCAGGTGACAGTACACGTCCTTGTCGTGCGCCATTCTTTATGCTCTAAAATGTATCTGAACAGTTGTTAATTCTTAAAGCTGCTGTTCGCTGCCATTACATATTCTTTATTATTCGTAGATCTTTTCCATTAATGTTTATCTTTCTAACAGTTAGATTATTTCTTCACGCTTCACACAGTTAAATGTCTTTATATAGTCTATGAAGCATAAGTACAAATCAGTCTTTACTTCCATAGCTCCTTTTTACAATGCCCTTAGGATATATATGGCATTGTTTGTACCTTTTCCTTCTGAAAATCCCCATTGTTCATCGCTGATTTCTGGTTTAATTTTGTTTCTTATTCTTCTCATAATTATTTTCAGTAAAATCTTAGTCATGTGACTCATAAGACTTATAGTGCGATGGTCTTCACATTTTAAAGTGCCTGGTTTCTTTGGCAGAGCTATAAATATGGATTTTAAAAGGTTATTTGGAATATACTCACTATTATAAATATCATTTAAAAGTTTAGTTAGTTATTCGATTCCAAAATTTCCCAGTGCTTTAACTTCTTCCAGTGAGATGTTGTCTGGCCCGGGTGCTTTTCCTTTCTTCATATGATGTATTGCATCCTCAACTTCTGCAGTCATTATTGGTGGACCATCATTGTTGGTCTGCAGTTCTACATCTGGTCTATTATCATCATACAATTCCCCTATATACTCTGTCCATCTGTTAATTATATTACTATGTCTTATTAAAAAGTAACTATCTTCTGATATTTAACACCCAGTGCTGTTACGTGTGGAGAAAATATATTCCTGTTAAACTGATTTGTTCTTTTGAAATAGATTTAAATTTCAAACAGTCTATCTGAAAGAGATACTATGTGCCTCAGGCACACCCCCCCCCCCCCCCCACCCCGGCCCATTTCCCCGTGTTTTACCCAAAATAAAAATAGTCCAATCACATGAAAAATGTGTTTTATATGTCACATAAGACAAATTTGAAAACCGCATTTATGAACCAGGTCAAAGTGCACCGGTCCTTTTGAAATGTATTACAAATGACAATGTTAACCAGATTACTAGTTTTTGTTAAAAAGATTGTTTATGTGAAACAGAGTAGAGCTATTCGCTGAATAGATTGCACATGTGAAACAAATTAGACCTATCCACCTGGGATATATTGTGTATGTGAAACAAATTAGATCTGTCTACCTGGTATAGATTTTGTATGTGTAACAGAGTAGAGCTATCCACCCGGCAAAGGTTGTATGTATCAAAAAAATTACTAAAGGTATTTATGTCCAAACTAAAAAGATTACAGTGCGATTACAGATCTATTCACCTGGAATAGGTTGTTTATGTGAAATAGAATAGAGGTATCCATCTGGCATAGATTGTATGTATTAAACAGATTACGAATGGTATTTATAGGTCCAAGTGAAATGGATTATAGTGCAGACGGCTTCAAACGATCTCGGATGTGGCGAATTTCTGTTGGAAGATCAATTTGTGTATCGTCGGCAATGTATCTTCTGTATCTTAGTAATCAAAATGAAAATAAAAAAATGCTTGGTAAGCAGAATCCGTTTATCGCGAATTTTCGATATAACAAATAATGAAACGTGTCCCGACTGTATAATCTTATCGGCCTAGTGCAAACATTTTTCAGATACCTTAACATTTATAAACCTTACGGTTATTTTCGGAAATAGCACCTTTTCTTCTTCTTATTTCTTTGGATATAAAAGGCTAGTAAGAACAGTCCGCATACAAATAAGCGAGACTATAAAACAGATGCCCACGCAAGACAGTAGTTCTAGAACAAGACTAAAGTTCAGAAGTCGACGAACAACCGGAACTTTCCACCGGAGTTTTTAGCCGGTGAACGCGAAGAGGAAGAATAAAGAGGCAAAGTAGAGACATTATATTGACTCAGAGACCAAGCCACATAGGAAAATTACAGACTTGTTTCATGTGAACATTCTAGCGGTAATGATGACTATGTGTCAACAATATAAGCTATTTCACAGTTTGAAGTATATAATGCAGACTGGGTACTAAATTAATTGTATTTGTCAAGGCATCTGTTTTATTTACGGTTCATATCCTGTTAGCTAGTTGCGTATTCTTTACAGGACGTTGCAGAACCAAACCCAGCAGCCCCTGGCTGTTGTGTGGTTTCGCTAGGCAAATTTACATCCAGTAGTTTGCCATTGCTTCTAGGCGGTCGGCTTTCTTGATACCACTGTCGAAACCAACGCAAGGCGCATGGCCCGCAGCTGCGATCTAACCCTGTACCCCGGCATTACGAAGCGTTCGCATCGACTTAGACACAGAGCTGATAACAGTTCATATATACATATGTAAAACAACATGAATAAATATGAATAGAGACTGGAACAATTGAAACAGAACGGAGAATAGAGCTGAGTAAAAGAACAATTGAAACAGAACGGAGACTGAAGTGGGTGAAAGATTACGAAGCGTTCGCATCGACTAAGCCACAGAGCCGACTAGAGTTCATATATACATATGCAAACAACATAAATAAATATGAATAGAGACTAGAACAATTGAAACAGAACAGAGACTAGAACTGGGTGAAAGAACAATTGAAACAGAACGGAGACTAGAACTGGGTGAAAGAACAATTGAAACAGAACGGAGACTAGAACTGGGTGAAAGAACAGTTGAAACAGAACGGAGACTAGAACTGGGTGAAAGAACATTGAAACAAAACGGAGACTAGAACTGAGTGAAAGAACAATTGAAACAGAACGGAGACTAGAACTGGGTGAAAGAACAATTGAAACAGAACGGAGACTAGAACTGGGTGAAAGAACAATTGAAACAGAAAGGAGACTAGAACTGGGTGAAAGAACAATTGAAACAGAACGGAGACTAAAAACTATTGCTATTTGTAATTACCTGGGAACATCATTCCTGGAAGTGAGGGAAACGTGCTGCATGCTCTGTAGTAGTCTTGTTGCATTAATCCCTGCATCGTTGTAGCTCAGAAGTTGAACAGTCTGGTCGTGGATGTGTGCGCTGGAGAATTCATTGGCTACAACTGTTGTCGTAACAAGTGCTGTTTGGCTCCATCTTATATGTTGTGGTGTAATTAGAAAACGTCAGCACAGAGGTAGACGGTCTGCAGAACATTACTTGTTGTTTTTGCTGAAGACTCAGTCGGGAAACAAATCTTGGGAATGATGAACAATTCACAATACGGCATGCATGGAAATCCGAGTCTGGCATCTGAATCTGAAGTGTGCTTACGTCGCTTTATGTCCTCAATGGATACCTCAGTCTCTTGACCATCACTGAGTAAATATAGCAGTCAGAGATTAATGAAGAGACAGATGGTAATTTAACGACCGATAGTACAGTGTTCATATCTTCGTGAAATTCCACTCCAAGAGACCTGTGTTTCAATGTTAAAACATAATGATACTTTCTTTACACTAGAAAGTCATCAATTAACTGTATAAATAAAAGCCAATCGCTGGAGCGTGTTTCTGGATAACATATTTGTGATGGACAATAAGACACACTTGTTTATGGAGTCACCTTGTCTCTGTGTCCATACAATCAGATGGCTTTGCTGGACACACCAAGTCTAGTTTCTTCGCACCACATAATCAAATGTCTGTCATTAACAAGACAACTTACTACAAGGTGGTGTATTTGTGTACGATATTTATTTCCTGACTATACGCGTACGATCTCAACTAACATCAAGTGCCAGAGTACATGTAACTGGTAGCCTTTGCCAGCGGAAATCAATCATCGCCTTCCGTTAGTTAAGATGGTCAACGTTGACACTAGGCGAATAAAGTACTGGAGAAAAAATATAGCGCCCAGGCTTAGTTGATGCAAGGAAATTGCAAAAGAAATAAAAATGATAAAAAAGGAAATCGGCGACAAGAAAAGAAACGGAGAAAATCGAGTTGACAGAGGCAGCTACACCTGTCTTCCGTTGGAAATTCTTTCCTATGTCGGGCTTTTCCTTACCTCCTTCCTCTGGCAATTATCCTGTTTGAGGCCCAGTTTCCGCAAAGGGCGAAGCCCAATTTCCCGCACGGAATTCCTGTCTGTGCCAGGCACTACCGGTGACAAGAGTGCTAGACAACCGGCCGTGGGAGGATGCTTTGAGTGTCCAGACTGTTTCTTCCGAAGGAGGTTCCTAACAGGATAGACATAAAAGAGGTTGGCGAACGCGTCAACTCAGATTTCGTGGCCAATACGAAGGAAGCTGGCCCAGCAGCCAACGGTTTTTATTGATCTGGAGATCAATAACAGGGCGGAAGCCGACATGGAACAAATTGGGACCCAACCCTCCACGTCGTTGCCTTAGAATAACCGATAATTACCAGTAAGCCACTGCCGATCAACTCGACATTTTTATCACATGGCGAGGGCGTGGCTAGCCCCGTCGACCTAACGATCAATTCAAAATGGCTGCAGAACATTGTCACAGCGGGGAGACAATGTTTGATCTGTTGAGAATCTCTATATTCTGATATCTCTTCCTGCGTAAATTACATTTTTGTTTATATATACATGAACCCTAATATGTTTACAAAAGGGTGTATATACGATAAATTTACGTTATTCTAAGTTTGCATATTTTTTTGTTCCCATTTTCTTGGTAGTTCACCTTTCTTTATGAGCATTTGTCTATTTTCCTGTATGTCAGTCCATCTATATTCTTCTATGTTCTCAGACTTCTTTTCTTCCACAAAGCCATATTTATCTTCGCACGCAGATACATACATATATTTATGTGTGTGTGTGTGTCTATGCGCGCGCGACTTAATATGTTTTTGTTTATCCATTTGTGAGGCTGCAACTTGAAAAATTACTACCTCGTGAATCAAGAAGCAATTTTAGTTTTGAATCCATCAGGATCAAACCTCGGAAACTTTGTATATTCAACATTTAATTTGGGGCGCCCTACGGTTGGAAAGCCATGTGCTGCCATATGAGTTAAGTGGAGAATGTATGTGTATGTGCTATCCTTTCATATCAGGTACATATATCTGTCGTTAGTATGTAATGATATTGTTCTCTGTTTGAAGTTATAAAAAAAAAAAGCAATAGAAAAGGAGAGGCCGTAAGCTAGGAAACTAGATAGCCAACCCCAGGACTGCAGTAGTACCGACAAGACCTAGCTTTGACACCAGGCAGAAGTAGACACACTAGACTAGACAAGACACACTGTCAGATAGCCCACGTCTGCCACTAAACAAGACACACTGTCAGATAGCCCACGTCTGCCACTAGACAAGACACACTGTCAGATAGCCCACGTCTGCCACTAGACAAGACACACTGTCAGATAGCCCACGTCTGCCACTAGACAAGACACACTGTCAGATAACCCACGTCTGCCACTAGACAAGACACACTGTCAGATAGCCCACGTCTGCCACTAGACACACTGTCAGATAGCCCACGTCTGCCACTGGACAAGACACACTGTCAGATAGCCCACACAGGCAGGTTTACATCTCCAGACATTCCTAGTACTGATTTAAGGGATAAGTCAACCTCAAAGACTACAAATCACTTTGATGCAGACTCAAACGCAAAACCGTCGGCTAGGCGTGCAAGCCACTTGTGCTTTCAGTTTCACCTGTACACGCATTGAGTCGACATACGCCAGTTATCCCGTTTTCCCCTTGCCTGCTCGAGGTCACCACTTTCCTCTCAGAAATTTAAATACGTCTTACAGAATCTCGGCCCGTTGTTGAGTCACAAGTAAGCGAAAAGACTTTCTTGAATTCATCAGAAGTAACTGGAATTTTGCCGGGAAATAGCAGGTTTTACAATAGCGAGGCTTTGCCAACAGACTGATACTGAAGGTCAACAAGCCTTCAATAGGGCTCAGCGTTCCCGAGAACAGTGCTGGAATAATAGCCATCATAAACAATGATCACACTTTGATGTAGAAAACAAACACTTATATCAAGTTGACTCACTGACCCAAACCACCCAATTTACCCCGCCATTGTAAACCCGTCTGTTGTAACAAAAGTAAAAGCCCTTGTCACACTAACATGTTTTTCGTGTGTACAAGGTATGCCACCGTTTTTTTTCCAGACTAAATCCATCTTGGAAGACAGTTCATTTTAAAATTCGACGTGGATTATCACCGCGACCGACAGGCAAGTGGGTACACTACTGCGCCACGTCTGCTCTTATCCATAGCATTATAATTAGTGTATATCATCATCATCAAGAGGCTTGCCGACTGGCGTGGGCGATCATGCCTCTCCACAATCTACGATCTCCTGCCGCATGTATCAGTTTGTGTGCCGACACACCTCCATGCCATGCAACAAGACTGTCAAGCATCTTCTCTCGTTGTCTTCCTCTATCTCTCCTTCCGCAGATCTTTCCAGTGGTCACAACATGTTCTATTTTCCCTCTTCTCATAACATGGCCGAAAAATGATGACTGTCTCATTCTGATGTCTGTAATACGTAGTCTTCGGGCTCCCGCCTCTTTCAAAACCTCTTGGTTGCTCTTTTTATAGTCTAGTGTAATCTCTCAGTCTTCTTATTCGTCTGCTACTTATCATTATTATTATGCATTTGGCCTTTAAAAAAAAAAAAGGGGGGGGGGGGGGCACGCTATGTTGTGGTTTAAGCTAGGCTGCAATATATGTGCCTTTCGGGCCTAAATATCTGATTTCATCAAACTTCTAATATTTGCCTTTTACAATGTACTTCTTGAGAGGGTCGACCCTGTCGCTAAGTCGATACGAACGCTTCTTAATGCCGGAATGCCTGTTTCGATCCCAGCTGCAGGACATGCACCTTGCGCTGGTTTCGACAATGGTATCAAGAAAGCCACACGTCAAGAAAGCAACGGCAAACTAATGGACGTAGATTTGCCTAGAAAGACCACACAACAGCCGTGGGCTGTTTGGGTTGGTTCTGCAACGTCTTGTAAAGGATACGTAACTAACCAAAGTAAGAAATATGTCCTTTAAATGTAGGGCATGACCTATATTTTTTAGACTAATCAGCACTTGATGGATGATGGGGTCGCCATCTAGTCGGCGGCATTTCCCGAATGCTGAAATACTGAGAGTTGAAGAAAACGGTCTCCTCTATACAACTCAAGGCGCTAAAATATAGGGCATTCTAGAAAACGTGATATTATCAACGCCGTACGGATTAGGATGGGAGATAATTGCGAATCTCTGACGCTAACACTACTTTGTGACCGAGGAGTTAAGCTTGGTGAAGCACGACTATGCCGTCTTAGAGGTAAAGACAGGAGATACTATAACCTACTCCTCATGGCAACAATAAATAGAGGTACCTTGAAGTGGCTGCTGCATCGGAGGACTGAGCACGCATGGGGATGCCCAATGTGCAAAGACGTCGATTGTGATCACATAACATAATGTCTTCTTCTTCTTCTCTTCCACCTTGTACCCCATCGAAGTGTCGTGGGGAGATGTAATGTTCGTTGATGAGCTCTGTCAAGAGCACTATTAAGACTGATGTTCATTTCTGTAAGGCTGTTCTTAATGCCATCACTCCATATTTTCCGAGGTCTTTCACTCGCTCTATACCCGTTGTAACGTTTTAGTGTGGCTCGCTGTGGCATATAATACCAGGGCATTCTTGTTAGGTGTCCAAACCACTTCATTTGTTGTTCTTCCATGACTTGTAAGACTGGCTTTATTCCTAGCATTCGTCTGATTTCATGATTTTGTATTCTGTCTTTCCTTGAAACTCCTGCAGCTCTTCTAAGGCATTTAATCTCTGTTGTCACAATTTTACTTTCATTGGAGTATGTAAGTGTCCACGTTTGGCATTGATAGCATAGTGTTGGCCAAAAAGTTCTGATAAGATTCACTTTAGTACTCCGAGGTATCTGCTTGTGTGTCAATAGGGGAGATAGTTGACCCATTACTTGATTAGCTTTGGCACACCTGGAGCTAATTTCTCTGTCCAGTTTTCTGTCGGATGTAAAAATTGCTCC